CTAGATATCGTGTTTAAGATTTATGCTGATATTGTTCGTACCCATAGTTGTCGTTTCTTGCTGTCATCTTACTGATTTCATTGATATTTCGTACTCAGTCATATTCATGCATTCATATCATATCTCAGTCTCAGTTGTTGTTTATTGATACATCATATCATTGTTGTCGGGCTAGTTTCATGATATTGTGAGCCCGTGAGTAAGGCTGTAGAGATTGATGACTGAGTGAGGCCGAGGGCCTAATTGTGAGGTTATTGATACTATAGCACGTGAGTTTTCCGTTCAGCACGTGAGTTATCCGTGCGGATTCTGATATTGATACTATAGCACGTGAGTTGTCCGTGCAGCACGTGAGTTGTCTGTGCAGATTATAGCACTTGGGCTGAAGGAGCCCCTTCGGAGTCTGCACACCCCAGTGAGCGCGATTGATTATATTGAGGGATGGATCTTCCCTGGACATGGATCTTGTCCGAAGCATTTATATACCTGGAGATGGATCTTCTCCATGGGGCCGGATTGGCTTTCTTCGGTACTGAGTGACTGATGGTCAGTGATGTATATATTCCGGGATGGATCTTCCCTGGGCCGTATGGGCCATATACAGTATCGAGTGGTTGAGCATGATGAGTGGAAAGTGTGAGACTGTGAGGTTGAGTACTCTGAGAGTGTGAGTACATGATTCATCTCGGAGATACATGGCATTGGCATGCACACATGACATACAGGCATAGAGATGTATTTTTCCTCATGTTGTATGGTATCACGTCATTCATGACTTTTTACACACATTGATATGTGGTCAAAGAGAGGTATTTCACACTTGTTGTCATGCTATCTGAAAATGAAACATCTTATTTATTGTGAAAAGGATTTTTAGAAAAATTACAGTTTTCAAACTATCTCATATTTTATGACGATTTCGGTAAAGGATTTGAGTTTTCACTGATATTCTTGAAAAGCAGAACTATTTTCGGAAAACTCTGAAAAAGCTGAGTAGTTTATCTCTGATTTACTTCCTTATTTATATGCTCTACGTTGTTATGAACTGCTATTGTTTATTGGTGTTGGACCCGACCTGTGTTCCACCTCGTCACTGCTTTCAACCTAAGATTAGGTTTGTTACTTATTGAGTACATGGGGTCGGTTGTACTCATACTACACTTCCTACACATTGCGTGCAGATTTCGGATGCCGATATTGCTGTGTTCGATGGTTGTTGGATTTGAAGGCGTACCTGCGTTCCTGCTGTAGCTGGCTCTTGTTCACGGTAGCCTTAGATTATAAAACTCTATTTATGTACTTTTCAAACAGAAGATATATTTTCTTCATATCAGCTTTGTAAACTCTATTCTTAGAAGCTCGTGATTTGTACTATCAGTCCTTGGGGAATGTATAAGATTCAGATAATTCCTTTGTTAATTGTTTTATTAAGTTAATTGGAAATCAATAATCGCTAATTGGCTTACCTAACGGGTTGGGTAAGGTGCCATCACGACTAGTGAATGTTGGGTCGTGACAGCAGACCTTACCCCTACCTCATAGAGATAGAGAGGTTGTTTTCGATAGACCCTCGGCTCATTAAATAATGAAAAAAAGCAACCAAGTAGCAAAGAATATTAGCAACAATGTAACATGGTAACGGGTGTGAATGTCACTGCATGCATAATAAAGAACCATAAATAGAAAACTACAGAAATAGGCCTAGGAGGAACACACTACTATCTGTCAACCTACAACCCTAATTCTCGACCTCCACACCTTCCTATCGTGGGTCATATCCTCGGTCAGTTGAAGCAATCTGAGGATCACTGCTAGTATTGGAATTCGGAAGGGGTACTAATTAGGAGGATTAGATTGATATGTAATTAATATAAGCTCTAGTGATGGTAATGAATCTAATGATTGGTTTTGCAAGAAAGTGGAAACGCCAGCAAGGCTATTTCCTTCTCAAGAAAAACTTTACCAGAAGTAGAAAGCTTACATCTTTCCAAATTAACCAGTCTGTTGCACATATCTTTATATGGTATCAGAGCCATATTTATTCCCATTTGAGCCCCTATGATATATTGTCCACGCTCCAGTTAGTGGTCTGGGTGTGCGGGGTGTTACAATGGGTTAGAGTCCCACATTGGTTGGGAAATATGCTAGTGGTCTCCTTATATGGACTTGGACAGTCCTCTCCTCACGAGCTAGCTTTTGGGGTTGAGTTAGGCCCAAATATCATATCTTTACGGGCTAAGAAGCATATGTGCACCATTTTTCTTATTTTTTCTTTTTAGTTTTTTTGGTTATATATTCGAAGAAAAAGAGACTAATTAATCATGTTTGCAAATGGCTATACACCATGTCAATGTCTTCCTCAACAATTTGCAAAAGCAAATGTTCTCACCAACAAGAAATGTGATTTGTTTATAAGAGATGGAAGACAAAGGTTGTGGAATTTAAAGCTAAGTTCTACTCGTAGACCTCAAGTCTATATAGTTGGATATGGATTGCGTAAATTCATCGTTGATAATTGCTTAAAGGAGGGAGATTGTATAATGTTTGAGGTTGTTACTAATGGATAGGTGTGGCAAACGGGCGGGTTGGGCAGAATTTTGGCGGGTCAAGATGGGTTAGGTCAATAAATGGGTCATTTCCAACCCAGCCCAAAGTGTACTTAGGCTAAGATGGGCTGGGTCAAGATGAGCTAAATAATGGATCATAGCCCAACCCGCCCAACTTGACCCATTATTAGTACCATGCTCATCTTGCATAAACAAAGCCTGGGGGAAGGGGGGATTGGGTGTGGGTGGTGAAAAAATGAAAAAACAGAAAACAGAAAATTGAAAATACAAAAAAAAAATTTGTAAAACAAAAGAACAGAANATTGAAATACCAAAATAAGTAAATAAAAAAAATTGGGGGGAGGGGGGGAGGGGGATGCGGAAAAACGAAAAAAGACCCATGAGCTCCCTAATGATGGGGCAACTAAGTAAATTTCTAGATAAGTAGGGTTGAGATCACTTTATTTTGCGTGAGTTTCATGGGTTGTATTTGGGCTACTTCATGGGTCAGAATGAGCTATAAAAAATGACGGATTAACTTGGGCTCAGCCCGGATAGACTCATGAGCTAAAATATTTGTAGTCCAACCCATTAATCTCTGGACAGGTTGGATGGGTTTGGGCTCAAATTGCCACCCCTACTAATGGAGAAACACCAATATGAAAATTTCAAGTTGTTGCTAATGGAGGGACTCCAATCAAGGAGTTCCAATATGGAATTAAAAGGGGATGGCGAGAGTTCGTACAAGCAAATGGTGTTCAAGTAGGCGATATTTATAAGGCAGAATAGCCTAAATGGCACATGTACTTCAACCGCTTTGTCATGCCGGTCCCCAAACTTACATATTTGCCAATTGAACACTTATACTCATTCAAACCGTGAATAATAAACGATTATCCAACGTGTCTTATCCTAAGTGTCATATGTGGCTTCAGTGCGTGATTCACACGCCTGTAAGGGACGTGAAGACAGTTAAAAAAGCCCTAACGGTAATAATTTAGCCTATTTAATAGTCATCTTCTTCTTTCTACCTTATTCTCCATTGTTGAACATTATAGAAGCTAATTTCTATCCAAATCTGATGCCTTCTTCTTTGTTTTTTAGCTTCAACAGTGAAAAATAGAATTTTATTTTCCTGTGATTCTTCGTTGCCCATCAATTTCTTCCATCTCCTTTTGTTTTGAAAGTCGATTTTTTTCTGCTTCTCCTGCAACAAATAAGCTACTGCCGCCTCTTCTCCTTCAATAATGAGGAAGGAACCTTTGTGTTATTGTGGACTTGCTGCAGATCATAAAATGTCACGACCACCCACCAATCCTGGAAGGAGGTTCCTGGGTTGCCGAAGATATGAGATTGGTGAAGGTTGTGGCTTTTTCAGATGGGTTGATCCTGCGATTGAGGAAGAACACTACAAGACTCTTCTTGCGGCTCTTATTAAGAAGAGTGATCGATGCCATTGTCAAAGAAGACAAGGAAGGTCGAAGTTCAAAGTTGTTGTTATTATAATTGCGGTTGTAGTTGTTCTAATGTTAGCTATTATGTTATTTATTTAGGATTGATAGTGCACTTTCTTATTTCCTGGGTTTAGGCTACATATTTTGTGTTGATGTAAAATTTTGTTCATGGAATATATTGACAAAGGCTCCATTACAGCAACAAGTACTAATATAATGGCCTGTGTTATAGGCAGTTAATAAAACATCCAAAATAAGGGAGTTGGTTTACAAAATATTGCCAACGATAGGCAGTCAACAAAAACATACATAATGAAGTAGCTTTACAAAATATTGTCTACCAGAGTCAACAAAAACATACATACATATGTAAATATCAGTTGAGCACTTCAATTAATGTCTGTTGTGGCTTGGCTGATTGGTGTGGATGGTGTAACTGGTGTAGCTTGAGTGGTTGTAGCAGAGTTTGCCCTTCTGTAACTCTGTTCTTGCAGCTGCCTTTGTGTAATTGCAGATCGACCCTTCCACTTTAGTCCAGGTGGTTTGAATCTAAGTTCAATGTTGGTAGGAGCAGAACTTATGAGTGTAGAAGGATTGTGTACCACTGTGTCAGTAGTTCCAGACTGCACAAAAATAAAAGATTGTGAGTGAGGGATTATGTAGTAAACCATTGTGTAATTGAGTGGAAATATTTACCCTCTGTATAACAGTGCCACTTGAATCAAATAGCACACTATATCCTACTGTCTTTGGTCTCTTAGAGCCTGCATTTGCACCACCTCTTCTAGGCTCATTGGTCTACCTTTTTGGACCTCCTGCAATATTAGTTGATTGTTGTGTGCTTGGATCAATGATTGGTGGAGTGAAGGTGCCACTTTCCATAGTTGAAGGTGCTGCTGTTGATCCAGCCGCTGCTGATGATCCAGCTGCTGGTACTGATGCACTTCCAGCTGCTGCTGTTGCTGCAGTTCCACTTTGAGCAGTTTCACCTCCAACTGAACTAGTCCCAGCCTTTCCCCCTTGGTTTCTCTGCATACACATAACAAAACTATCACTAGTAGTTGAATTCTTTCAATATTAGTAACAAAACAAACAGTAATACTTACTGCTGATGGGCATCCTTTCTTGTTATGTCCTAGAGTCTTGCACAAAGAACATCTCATTTGTCTCCCTATCCTTGTACCCTTCCCAAACTTCTTCTTTGGTTCATCAACAACTTTTCTCCTTTTTTTCTTTTGCCTTCCTGGCATTGCAGTTATAACAGGTGGCTCAATAGCTAGCAGTGTGCTTTTTGGCCACAAATTCATACTAGTTAAAGGTTGAATGAATCTGCTATATGCCTTAAGGTAGGTATCCTTTCTATACCAATGGTCAACATATGGCTCAACCTCATAGTTCTTATAATGCATTGCTGTAATTGCATGTGCACATGGAATTCCTTTGAGTTGCCATGATCTACAAGTACAGGAATATATCCTAAAGTCAACAACATGTTTATATGGCCCATCCTGGATCTCATACCCTGTTTCACCATTAAATTTGACTTCACATTTGGCTGCCCTTTGAGCATTCTCTCCAAGTATTTCCATAGCCATGGGTGATATCTCACCTACCCATTTTTCAGAAAACCCTCTCATGCTATTCATCCTCTCCATAAAAACAATATGTTATAACTTAAACATAAATGAAAACAGTTACGCTTTAAAGACAGAGTATTAAAAACCATACCTTCTGCATATCAGACATGACTGTCAGTCCTTCTCCTTCAGTTTCTATTCAAGTTAGATCATGCTTGAGACATCTGATAAACCAAGACCATGTATCCTTGATCCTTTCAACTACTGCCCAAGCCACAGGGAACATTTGATTATTTCCATCTTGGAAATGCAGGAAAGTAGTTCACCTTTACATGTCCCCTTTAGGAATGCACCATTAAAGCCAATTATGTTTCTGCACCCTTTAAACATCCAGTTTTTAATGCTTTCAAGACAGACATAAATGCCCATAAACACCTCCTTGCCAGGAATTGAATCCTTAGATGTCCTTATCACTAACAGTAGTGTCAGGATTAGTAGCTTTAGCATTTCTGCATAATCATGAAGCCTAGCAAATTCTTTCTTGTAATCACCCATATTCTCCTTCATAACTATCATTTTTTCTTTCTACAGGAATTTTACTCACATACAAGCCAAAAGATTTCCTAAGTAAGGCTTGAATCTGATGAAGTTTAATTTGAGGCTCACTAACTATTCTGTCTTTGAATTTTTTTGCAATCCATGGTGGGTTACACATCTTGTTCCTTGTTTTCTTGTAGCATTTATGGACAGGGTAGTATGTAATCACCCTAAAGTTTCTGGTGCTGCCTTCAATGCTACCAAGGATATGCCATGGACATCCATTTTTTGTGCACTTTGCCCTAACCCTTTCCTTCTCATTAGGTTTCAACTTAAGGTTGACACCTTTTTGAATAGAATATGTCTGCAATGCCTCCCTAAACTGTACAGCATTCTCAAAGATCATATACAGTTCAAAAAATATTTTTTTGGAAGTTGTATCAAAATACACCTTCTTACTTGGATTCCTAGCTGGAGCATCCCTTACTTCATCAGGGCCAACAGGTTCTCTGTCATCATCACTACACTCACTACCTGGATCTGAGCTATCAAAATACTGGTCATCCCCTCCTAGTTTCCCTTCATATTTTCCCCTTTTGTTCTTATGCATATCTTCAAAACCAGCATCTATACCAACTGGACCAGATGGTATCTCATCTACATTTACTTGGGCATCCTTCTTTTTGTTGAGTTTAGACTGTCTAATTTCAGCTAAATCATCTTCCAAATCACTACACTCTTCAATGTTCTCATCTATATCAAACAGTGAGTCAGACCCTTCAGAATCATCAAGGTCCTCATCAAAATCAGATTCTGATGTTTGAAGGTGATAGGATGAGAAGTTATTACCTTTACGTTCATCTGATTCTTCTATCTCTTCATTTATATCTGCCCCCTTACCCTTATCTTTGTCATTTTCAGTCCTATTTATATCATAGTTGGGAGGTGACACATCAGCCCTAGCATTTAACCCACTGTCATGCCCATCTGTTTGTATAGTGGGGTCTAGTTCAGTTATGTCTTCAACAAGAATAGCCTCACTAATTTTATGGACAATACAAACATCAACAAAGTCACCACCTTTCAATGTATTAAGAAACTTTAACACATCAGCATCTGTTTTTAAAATGTAATAGCCACCCTTTTTGTTAACTTTGCATCCAAACAAATCAACTTCTAAAAATCCTAAGTCACTAGCAAACTTGTGAAACAACATAATATGTAGCTCATCAACATCAACTGTAGCTAATTGAGGATAAGTTAGTCCATTTGCATACCTTAGGTCAGGGTCGGATACAAAATTACCACTGTGGTGGATTTGTAGGTTAACTATGATTGAAGCCATTTTCTTTTCATACCTGCAAAGTAACAAAAAAACACTGCAATCAATGACTATTTGTTATCAAAAGTTGCACCTTTACACAACTACATAAACAAACAAACAAAAAAGACAGATTTTTAAAGTAAAAAAGCTTCCAAGATTCCTTTTTCGTCCCCACAATGACATATAATATTCAGAAATACTGTGGTGGACCACTAACAAGAAGGAGACCCTTCAAACATCACAAAAAAATGCATAACCCTAAGATGAAATTTTGCTTTGACAACAAAAACCCAAAACACTAAACGGAATAACCAAATATGCCATTACATGCATGACACTACATTAAAAAGGGCTTTCACTCTAACATGTAGCAAAACACAATAAAAGCCCTATATATTAAGGGAGATTAAACATCAATTACGACCTAACCCAGCCTTCCCCTAAAAAAACCCTAAACAGAGCAAAAGCCCCAAAAATAGAGGGAAATGAAGAACAATAAAGACAAAATATGAAGAACAAATGAAGAAACTTACCCCCACAAACTTCGATAACAATTGTACAGATGAAAATCCCGGCAACAACGACGGAGAAGAGTGGAGAGACTCACTGTTGTTCGATACTATCTAAGCCTTAAGTACGCGGTAATTGTAAAATGAGGGGAAAATGTGGGTTTGGGGGGGGGGGGGGATAAATAATCCTTTGCCGATTTTTTTATCCTATTTGGCCATCATATGTGACTTGGAGCCTACGTGGTTTTATTTTATTGATGTGGCGTCCTACGTGTAGGTGATTGTCATACACGCACTGGCAGCCTCCCTGGATAAGCGTTTATTATTCACGTTTTGAATGACTATAAGTGTTCAATTGGCAAATATATAAGTTTGGGGACCGGCATGACAAAGCGATTGAAGTACAGGTGCCATTTAGGCCATTCTGCCTATTCATAAATTTGAACTCATCAGCAATGGCAAAATACCTATAGCTCATTTCCATTGTGAGTATATATTGTTGTTGTTTTTCCTCTTTGTCCCTTTTGTTATTAGAATAAAGATCTTTATATAAATAGCCGACCATATTTATTATTTGCTTTTTCTAGCCATATACATCGATTATATATTGATTATATACATATATAATACATAAATTATGCATATATAATACGTAAATTATGCATGTATTATACCTCCACCGGCTATTTGAGTTAATTCTTCATCAGAATATGGGAATTGTTATGGAACCAAAAAAAAAGTTTTTACTGAGATTTTAAGATGTTATGTTATCTTTTGAAGATACATACAATCTTAAATGTTTCAAATAGTGTCGAATGTACTTTGATATTTTAAAGATACGCATAATATTTTGATATTTTATTATGTGGCAAGTTTCCTAACAATTGCTTTTTGATGAAATTTTCCATCTAAAAGAGCTACCAGCTTAGACTTCAATGATCCTAGATACAATGGCTTTATACAATCAACTCCTGGAAATTTCGATTAATAACTGAAGCCATGTTTTGTTATTAAAAATTGTAGGTAAATATTCTGGGAAAGATGCCAAGAATCACGCTCAGAAGCCATTGACAAGGTACTGAAGCAGTTGGTGATGGGCAAGGAAACAAGCACCGAAGCAAGTGAATATAATGTTTTTGGATTTTGTATATGTTGCTAACAACAACAACAATAACAAACCTAGTATAATCCTGTGACGACCCGTCCAGCCGTGTCATGAGTTACCAGTCCGTTTCCCCCATTTCTGCTTCATTATGCTTCATTATCCGTGTTTTTATGTGGTCGAGTTGATTGGTTTGAGTTCGGAGTGAATTTGATAAGAAATGAGACACTTAGTCTCTTTTAAGAAGACTTAAGTTGAAAAAGTCAACCGGATGTTGACTTATGAGTTAGAGGGCTCGGATGTGAGTTCCGATGGTTCGGTTAGTTTTGGGAGGTGATTCGTGACTTAGGAGTGTGATCGGAAGTGGTTTGGAGGTCCGGTGTAGAATTAGGCTTGAATTGGCGAAATTAGTATTTTGGCGAATTCCGGTTGATAGGTGAGATTTTGATCCGGTGGTCGGAATGGAATTCCGAGAGTTGTTGTAGCTTTGTTATGTGATTTGGGATGTGTGTGTAAAATTTCAGGTCATTCGGAGGTGGTTTGGTTGGATTTTTTATCAAAAGCGTGTTTCGGAAGTTTTTAGAAAACTTAGGCTTGAATTCGATGTAAATTGATGGTTTTGGTGTTGTTTGAGGTGTTGTGATGATTGGAACAAGTTTGAATGAGGCTTTGGGACGTGTTGGTGCTTTTGGTTGAGGTCCCGGGGGCCTCGGGCGAGTTTCGGATGGTCAATCGGACCAATTTCTATGTTGAGAAGTTGCAGATTTGAGCAGCAGTTGCAGAGGATTTTATTCTTCGCGATCGCGTAGGAGGAAATTTGAGGGCTCGTAAATTGCTCTTCGCGTTCGCGGAAGGCCAGTTGGTTGTGCATCGCGTTCGCATAGGACCTTTCGCGTTCACATAGAAGTATTTGTGAGTCAGGGGTCTTTACCCTTCGCGTTCGCAGCTGGAGTTCCGCGTTCGCGTAGGCTGGTGAAGGAAAGCATTACGTTCACATAGCAGGCATCGCATTCGCATAGCGTATTTTGAGGTCATGGAAAATTTGCTCTTCGCGATCGCGATGAAGGAATTGCAGAGCTGGGCAGAAAGTTTATAAACATTTCATCCGCGATTTTGAACCATTTTTCCACCATAGCTGAGTATTTTGAGAGCTCTTTGAGGGAAATTGAAGAAGGATTCAAGGAGAAGTGATTGGAGGTAAGATTTATGAACCAAAAACGTGATTCTATTGTGAAATTAGCCTAAAAAATTCATGGAAACTAAGCAAAAATAGAAGAACTAGGGCTTGGGATTTTGGAATTTTAATTTGGGATTTAAGGGGTCATTTGGACTCCGATTTTGGTGTTCTTTGTATGCATAGACTCGTGGAGTGATAAGGGACCCGTTGATATAAAAATTTCTGAGTTTCGAGAAGTGGGCCCGGGGCTCGGGTGTTGCTAATTTTGGGATTTTCGATGTTTTTCGATTGTTTTCGCTTGGGCTTTGTTCCCTTAGCATATTGTGACGTATTCGTTTTGGTTTTGGTTAGATTCGACGCGCGTGGAGG